TGCTTGGTAAGAAATGTACGCATTATCCTGCCCATGCAATTGTAACCCCTCTGTACAGTATGTTCACAAATAAAATAAAATAAAATTTAAAAAAAAATTGTTCCATCTTTCCATTATCATCCAAGAAAACAAGATTCAATCTTATTAAATAAATTCTATAAATTAACAATATTCAAACAAATAAAAATACCTTAATTTATATAAACCAATCAATGGCTAATCTTGTTTATTACATACTCACTAAGATTCTTTCTCTTTGTTAGTTATACCAGTAAAACTAGTACAAAATTATCTCCATTAGTAAGAAAAGCCATTTACTGCAGCATGGAAAAATATTGTATAGTTATTAGTTATAAAGAAAAGTTAGAAAATAGTCTAAATATAATTGCTAACTTAAAGTATACAAATTAATGATATTTTAGACATTCGATTTAATGTTAGGCGAATCCATAAATCAAGTATTATTTTCATTCATAGCATTGTCTTTATCATCTCACATAACAGAATGGCTCAACTGAGTAATTTAATTTTTGCTAAACAGTCCAGCAGGGCTATTTATAATTACTATATTCCAAGCTGTATTTGCAATCAGAGGAGGGAACAATATATCTAAACTATTGTCAATATTAGTAAAATGTAATATTTCAATCAATTTTAAGCCAACCATATTTTTGAGCAGCAAACAAACAAGGTAAAACACATTACCCTTCACTTGAACCCAAATTTCAACGTCTGAATGCTATATTTCTCACATTATAGACCATTGTCCAATTCATCATACTTAGATTTTTATTTTTGTCAGTCATGGGGCTTGTACTCAGGGCACAGGCACTGTCCCTGAGCTCTTTTGCTCAAAGCTAGTGCTCTACCACTTTGCATCACAATGCCACTTCCACTTTTCTGGTAGTTAATTGGCAATAAGAGTCTCATGCATGGACTTTCCTACCTGGGCTGGCTTTGAACCATGATCCTCAGATCTTAGCTTCCTGATTAGCTAGGACACAGGCATGAGCCACTGGCTTAATATTTCTTAAAAAGATAAAATTTACTTTCTTTCCTTAGAGAAATGCCAATCACAGTGATATCTAAGAAAATATGATTAAATTAGTTTAATTACTTTGTGTCTACTTGATAAGTCACTGCTATTTAATGCACAAATTGTCACTTGTAATTAATAACTATTGGTACTGTTTCAATTGATCAATTGTCTAATACACATAAAACATTCAAAGAAGTTCTTTATATCTTACAGCAATTCAGTAGAGAAGTCCTGTCCCAGGGGTATGTAAATTTGAAGCACAAGAAACCTCTGGATCAGTCCAACTACAATGAAAGAGAGGAAATATATACATGCAAATGTTCAAATCACTTATACATGAATATAAACACAATCACATGGCACTAACAAGCGAAGCTTTTAGCATTTCAAAAACACTATCCATGACTTACGACCTCATTATGAAAGTGAAAAGAATTAATGAAAGTCAAATAAAATGTTAGCAACAAATTTTGCCTTTTAAAGCCCCATCTGTGGCATTAGTGAAATTTTTATGAAAATTTTAAAAAATAGTAATTTTTATTTACAATTTTTATTAGGCTGCAAGAGAACATACACATAAAACTACACTCAATAGAGACATGTGAAACTGAACTATAGATTCTCATCAAAGTAACCATAAAAGCATGTGGCAATTATTTTTTCAGTGGCAGTTTTAACTGTTCTGAACAACTTAGTAAAGAACAATACATCAAAAAAGTAATTCTGGGCCAGGCACCGGTGGCTCACACCTGTAATCCTAGCTACTCAGGAGGCTGAGATCTGAGGACTATAGTTCAAAGCCAGCCTGGGCAGGAAAGTCCATGAGACTCTTATCTCCAATAAACTACTCAGAAAACTGGAAGTGGTGCTATGGCTGAAGTAGAAAGCACTAGTCTTGAGCTGAAGAGCTGAGGGATAGTGCCCAGGCCTAGAGTTCAAGCCCGATGACTGACCAAAAAAGAAAAAAAGTTAAAAAAAAGTAATTTTGATAAGTAAAACTGAGGGTTTTGTGAACCATATCTAGCAACATTTATCATCTCTTATATAAAGTTAACATACTTTAATTTGTCATCACCAAGTAAGAACTGATACCTTTTATTCCTTACTACTAGTTTAATCTGGATTCAAATATTCAAAGAAAACAAATCTTCATGGTACTTTGGATAGCTTTACTTTAAAAAAATCAATTAACTTAATATTACCTATCCAAACCCACTCACTTGTGCCTTTCCTCTTAGGTTCTGAACTTTTGCTTGATATTGCTATTATGATGCTCTTAACAGAGGCTTTAATACCATATTTCCTAAAACGTGAAATTTAGGAATATTTTCCCCTCATGTGTAAGAAACAAACCTTGATTTTGTCTGTGAACTTTCTATAGAGCCAATAGTACAAGATAACAGATAGTGTTCTACCACTTTGAGTGGGAGAGTTGCCTTTGAAGGCAACTGGTCTATAATGATGCTATTTCCTATTCTGACTTAGTGAGCTTAGCAAAGAAGTATTTTAAAAGTACCAATATGCTGGGCACTGGTGGCTCACACCTGTAATCCTAGCTACTCAGGAGGCTGAGATCTGAGGATTTTGGTTCAAAGCCAGTCCAGGCAATTAAGTCCCCATGAGACTTTTATCTCCAATTAAATGGAGCTGTGGCTCAAAGTGGTAGAGTGCTAGCCTTGAGCAAAAAGAGCTCAGGGACAGAGCCCAGGCCCTGCATCCAAGCCCCATAACCACCACCACCACCACCACCACCACCACCACCAACAACAACAAAAGTACCACTACATTTATGGTAATATATAAAAAGACTTTCTGGCATGGTAGTATATAAAAAGACTTTCCTATGGTAAATTGCTTTTGCAACATTTCAGAGCAACTTAAACAGTTGCTGTTTAACCCAAATTTAGTCTCTTAATAATAAACACTTGGTCAAATATGCTAACAATATTTTAAAAGAGAAAACTTTTACTGAAAAGGAGTAAGCTTGTAAATTGGTCTTTAAAGGCAACAACAGAATAGGCAATATAACAGAAATAGAGAACAGGCTCTGATCCTAGAAAATTCTATAGGAATCCGGCCCTACCATATTTATGGGGAAAGATAGGCAATGAGAGTTATGCTCTACAAACCAGAGCTAGATAAGGATACTCAAATGAGGCCACCTTAAATAAGCCATCATTAATCTCCTGTATCTTGCACTGATTGGTCCTGTGGTGTTCAGACATGGACAATGGCTTCAGTAAACAGCTCAAAGAGCATCAGAATAAATAAAATCAGTCTTTTAAAAAGGTCTCTAATTTATGCCACAAACCTCACTGAATCAGCTCTGATCCCTTCAAACACAAAGAGCTTCACTTATAGGGCATTTTTGTATGAGCATTTTTAGAAATGAAAACTCTCTACCCTCACAAAAAGAGCTTTATAATTCACCTTTCTCACTTATAGAAGCCCTAGTTCCCAAAAGATTTCACTTTTAAGGTTAAAAAGAAGTATGATGATACAATATGGTGATGATCTAACAGAGAAAAAAGTACTTTAATAACATTTGACACACAGATCCTATATGTCAGTAACGCTAAATAAACTTCACAGGAATATCTGTTCCAGTGGCCTAGTAAGTTTAAACAGACTTCAGGGCTACATTATATTTAAAATCACTCTAAGTAATACTTAATGTGAAACTACTGTAAGTCAAAAATGCCCATGAAATACATATTTAGTCTTTTTCCTGAAATATTCAAGTTTGTACAATTTTGTAATCTGTTGAATGAGACAAATTCCTCCCTTTTTTAAAGGCTCAGGCCATGGTTATTCCTCCTCCCTTCCCTTCCTCTCTCCATTCTTGGGGATTGAACTCAATGCCAAAGTGTTGTCCTTGAGCGTTTTTGTTCAAGGCTAGCCTTCTACCACTTGAGCCACACTCTATTTGTTTTTTGGTTTGTTTTTTTTTTTTTGGTTTGTTTGTTTTTGGTGGTTAAATGAAGATAAGAGTCTCATGAACTTTTCTGCCCAGGAAAGCTTCAAACCATAATCAAGCTTCAAACCACAATCCTCAGATCTCATGCCTGAGTAGTTAGGATTACAAGCATGAGCCACCAGGGCCCAGCCCTGTTTGCTTATAAATATTTTAAAATATACTTAAAACTAGTAAAGTACCACTAGATTTTTTAACAGTGATTTTATGCTTGTTTTGTTGAAGCAAATGATAGATTGTAGACTTCAAATATATTTTATAAGGATTGCATTGTCCAAAGAGTTGGGATGAAAGCACAGTATAGCCATCTTTCATAAGTGCCTTAAGGAGCCATAACAGAAGTTATTCCTTTGTTCCTATGATAGCCCATATCAAGTCACCAAACAAGAATTAATTATGTCTTCATTATGGACTATCCTAATCCCATAGAAAAATTAGTAAACTGTCTAGACCGTTTGATTGTTTCCATTCTATGAAACTGACCTAATAGTTTAGATTTCACATCATAGGATAATATGCACAGATTAAATTAGCTCCATCATTCAGCAACTATTATTGAGTACCTACTGTGCAAAACAAAACTCTTTGTTGAAGTTTTTGCAGCAAATAAGACAAACATGGTCTCTGTTCTTTGGAAATTTTATTCTATGTCTATAGAAGACAGTCAAGGATCTATGGTAGCATATGCTAAAAGGATAAAAGGATGGTATATGAAGAAATAAAGCTGAAGTTCAACTGGGAAGGGCAAGCAGAATTGAGCAAGAGGTTACAGGTGTAGGAGAAAGATACAAATGTTGAAGGCAAAGAAAATATTCCTTCCTGTGATGGGAAAGGACACAGTATATGGAATGAACATTAAAAAGTTTAATGGGTTGGTAAAAGATAGAAGAGAAAAAAAGAGCCGGAGGTAAGTCAGAATCCAATCACATGGAGTCTTACAGATGATATGAAGAACATAGATCACTAAAATCAATGGGAAGCCACTCAGAAATGCATTTGTTTATGAGGTATAGCCTTACTTGAGTGCTGTGTTTCAGGCAGTGTTCTTGGTGAACAAAGTAACTTAAATTATCTCTGCCATTGGCACTTATTTTCTGCTGATGAGAAAAAATAAATAAACCTAATAATTGCACAGCATATTAAATAGTGATTTAGGTATTGTGGGTGGGGCATAGAAATGAATAAGAAGGATCAAGAGTGGAGAAAGAATAGGACATATAATTTGTAACAACAATGGAGCAAATAAGGTTCATTGAGAAGGTGACTTTTTAGTAAAAGGCTTGAAGAAGAGAAGTGAGCCTTGTTGCTCTTTGAAGAAAGAAAACTAGACAGATGGTATAACATGTGCACAGATGCTAAAATGGTAGGGTATTAGCAATGAGTCCTGTATGGCTATAGTATAGTAAATAAGAGAAAAAAATTATAGGAGATAATACTAATGTTAAGAAGTTTACTGATATTTCATAGTCCTATACTCACTTGGTTTTTACTCTGTGAGATGTTGAGGCATTTTCAACACAGGAGTGACATGACTTACGTATTTTTTTATAATTTAAAAATAGTGCTCTGGCTGCTAATTTGACAAAAGACTATAGGGAGGCCAACTCAGAAACAGGGAGACCATTTAAAAGATAACTGCAGTAATATAAACATGAGATGATGGTGGTTTGGAGTGGTAGCAACAGCATTGGAAGTGGCAAGAAATAAAGTCTCAATCTTTAAAAAAAAATACTGCCAAGATCTTCCTGATGGACTGAATTTTTTAAAATGAAGAAAAGTAGATGCTTATTTAATTAAGAGTTTTGAGGCTGAACAATTGAAAAGGCAAAATGAGGCTATAGGAGCAGGAAGCATTTCTAGGAGCCAAGGCTAAAAGTTAGGCTTTTAATATACTACATTTAAACTGTAGAAAATGGCATGTCTTGAATTTTTTTTAAAGTGGCTTTCAAGTAACATTTCTAGATTAAGTTCAATTACCATTATATATTCCTATTTTAAGAGTAAATATACATTGACCATAAATTTGGCAGTAGGTAGTTCATGTTTGTTTCTGACTAGGTATACCAGGAGCATAAACAATTGATATTTAAGTTTACAGTTAAGAAGTCTGAGCTGGAATTATAATCTGATGTGATACAGTACTTAAATTCACAAACTTGATGCCAATAACCAAGGGAGTAAATGTAGGTTGAAGGGCAAAGATAACCCAGGGGTTTTGCAACATTAACACGGGTTGGTGAGAAGAGAAAGAACCACAAAAGGAGACAGAAAGACCAATGTTATGGGCAGAGAAGTAGAAGATTGAGCATCCTGGAAGATGGATAAATAAAATGAATTTGGACGGTGTCTGCTTTCTCAAAAGCTGCTGATAAGTGAAGTATGATAAGAACAGACAACTGGGCTACTGGATTCAGGAACACAGATCACCAGTGACTTTGATAAGAGCCCGTTAGTAGAATGGTAGAAATGAGAGCCATGGGAATGTTTCAAACAGAAAGTCATGATTTCAAAAAGAATACGAAGCACCAAAGTGGGGCATGAGGCAGCCTAGGGAAACCTTGTGAAGATGACCTAATTTACCAGAGCACCCAAAACTAAGATTATATAAGTTCTCAAGGATGCCATTTGATTTAGAGGCTAGAGCAGAGAAAACAATGGATTCAAAGGGGAGGGATGGGTGAGAATGTTGAAAGGGGTGACATTGACCAAAATATAAACTGTTTTGTTAAATGGCAACTCTTGCATACAACTACTTAATGATTTTTTTTAATCCCCTACCTAGCAACAACAAAGAAAAAGCCTTAAACAGAAGGTCTTGAAGACAGCCTTGGAAATGACAGATGTTTATGTGTGTCAGAGATGCTTTTCATATGTAACAGAGTCCATGATGGAGAACAGCAGGGACTTATTTAACTGACAAATAATTCACCAAGTCTCATCATCGTGGCCACATGGTTACAACTAGAAATTATAAATCAAATGTCATAGTTTCTTATTGTGATGTTTCACAAACGTATTGAACAACTGTGTGCCAGACACTAAGGAATACAAAGACGATTCATGATCCCTGCTATAGAGAAGTAGATAATCTAGTAACTAATACTGCAAGCTGCTTACTTGATAAAACATAGAAAAATTTATTTGAAAATCTGATATATTTAGAAATCTTTAAATGTAAGTTAATCCAGAAATACTATTTATAAATAGCCACACATAATTTCATTGTTAAACTTTCTTCTGAAATACCTAATATCGTCAGAAACACACATTGAGGTATCTATGTCAAGTTTGCATGAGGAAAGTGTATCTTATAAGATAGGAATACTAATTGAAATAGATAGGAAATGCTAATTGAAAGCCATTTTTCCATTCAAGACATGCCATTTAATTTAAGTTTAACCATATCAACATCACCCAGAAGGCCATTTTATATAAGTAAAAATAACTATAAATTTCTGTTATTGAAAGTCCCAAATAACTAATCTCAGAGGCACTAGTACAATGCAGGCTAAAAAACCTGTTCCATTTGTTGCAGTGCTGCATGTGCTACAGAAAAGCCGGATTAATTTTTAATTGCAAAGCATTGTGCAAAAAATACATTAAAAGATTCTTGTTTCTTCCAATTGAAAGCCATCATCCTTTTCACTTGCAAAGGTAATTATAACACATTAAATCTGATTTCTGAGGGAAAACCCCCTAGACAAGATTAGGAAGGAAGAGTTTATATTTAATCATTTTGCCTTTGGTGAAGCCAAATGAGAAGGTTATTAGAAATGATTGGTGTTTATCACTAACATGCATATAAGCATAGATGCTGAGGGCATTAAGCAGAGGTAAGCTTTATCAGTGGAACAGTAGGAAAAATCCCCAAAGTATTAAGTGGCTTAGAACAGTCATGTTCCTGCAAAGTCAGTGTATTGAAATCAGAGTTGATACTTTGAAGCAGACGGACTGTGTTGCTGTAAGAATAAACTATAGTCTCAGATATGTTTCCATAGCTCATCTTAGTTTACCTCATTTAAAAGGATAAATTTATATGGAAATGAAAAACAAACTGCTTTTTAACACATACAAATAGAAACTATCAGAAAACTATTATAATAATGGTAGTACAGTAATTTAAAATCATTTTAATGACTAATTTTTCTCTATTATCTATTCCTTAAGTTGCTCAGGGGTAAGGAACGACCAGCCCTCCAGCCATAAGGCCCAAGAAATTATTTGGTGCCTAAAGGGTTAAGACCTATATGCTTATTGCTAATCTCCTTAACTTGTATTGGTGATTTTATATGGCCTGTGACTGATTTACAAATATCCAAACAGCCTTTGGCAGAAAAAAAAGGTTTCTTACCTCTGGAAGGAACACTGACAAACCAATTTACAACAAATTTTCTTCTGTCTGTAACTTACACAACTTGGTATGAGTCTTAGAAATCTAAATGCATGCAGTAGCAGTAAATGGCATGTGGAAGCTTAGGAAGCTGAAGTGGAATTAGAAAATAAGGTACCGACAGGTCTTTTCATAGTGCCTGGTACACAGTAGGTACTCAATAAATGCTCTTAAGAATGAAGAAAAGGTTCATATGATAGTAAATACAAAATACAATTGTCTCCATATGCTAAATACCTGAAACTTATATTTAACACACAGGACACAGTAGGAAAAAAATCTGATTAACTATTTGACAAATCATGATCCTTAAGTAATATCAGTTTACACAAAGACTAATCAGGTGGCAGTCTTCAATGTTATTTAACTTACAAACAACTGGGCTTTTTTATCATAAATTTAGTTGATCTCACAGGATTCCTTTTACTTTAAATGGGTGGTATTTAATTATACCATCATATCCATACTTCATAAATGATACAATTGATACTTACTAAACTTTTTTTTTCAATACTGAGGTTTGAACTCAGTTCTTCATACTTAACTGGACAAGGGCTAACATCTGCCACTTGAGCCATGCCTCCATCCCTATAGCTCTAGCTATTTTTCAGATGAGATATCATGTTTTTATACCTAGGAACAGTCGTGGTCTTCGATTGTCCTACTTCTGCCTTTCATGTGTCTGGCATTATAAGTGTGAACCATCACACCCATATTGTTCTTTTTTTCCAGATTTTTAAAATCTTATTGTAAAGGTGATATAAAGAGGTATTATAGTTACATAAGTCAGGCAATGATTACATTTCCTACTGAACAGTGTCACCCCGCTCCCTCATTCTCTCCTAGTTTTTCCCCTCCGGACTTTTTTCTCCCCACACCCCAAGTTTCCAACATAGTGTCTAGTGGCTTTCACTGCTGAATTGTTCACCCTTTGTCTCACTGTTTCTTCGGTTCCCTTTCCCCTCCTAAATCAGATAAACTTATATTCAAGAAAAAGGGTACAGAAATAAAAAAAAAACAGCAACAGAAAGGAATAAACCAAGGAGAAAAGAAAGGAAGAAAAAAATGTAAAAAGTATAATAAAAAAAAACCTCTTGCTTCCATTTCTTGGAGTTTGTTTCTATAAGCATCATTTTATTTATTTATTTATTTTGGTCGGTAGTGGGGCTTGAACTCTGGGCCTGTCCCTTAGCTCTTCAGCTCAAGGCTAGTGCTCTAGCACTTCAGCCACAATGCCACTTCCAGTTTTGGTGGTTTATTGGAGATAAGAGTCTCAAGGACTTTCTTGCCAGGGCTGCCTTTGAACCACGATCCTTAGATCTCAGTCTCCTGAGTAGCTAGGATTATAGGTGTGAGCCACTGTCACCCTGGTTCAAAACCAGCCTGGGCAGGAAAGGCCATGAGACTCTTATCTCCAATAAATTACTCAGACAAAGCTGGAAGGGGTGCTGTGGATCAAAGTGGTAGAGTGCTAGCCTTGAGCAAAAGAAGGTTAGGGATAGCACTTAGGTACTGAGTTCAAACCCCAGACCCTCCCTCCCCCTCAAAAAAAGTCATGGCCAAGTACTGGTGCCTTACCCCTGTATCCCAGAGCTACTCAGGTTTAAAGCCAGCCTGGCAGAAAAAGCTATGAGACTCTTACCTCCAATTGACCACCTAAAACTGGAAGGGAACATGGCTCAAAGTGGTAGAGCACTATCCTTAAGCAACAAAATTCAAGTACAGTGCCCAATTCTGAGTTCAAGTGCCAAGATTGGACCAAAAGAAAGTTAGATTACCTCACATCAACAAATGCCAATGAAAGTCATATTAATATGCCTGCTCATAAGTTATAAAAGAATAACTTTTTTAAATGCTAACTTTCAATATAAAAAAAATCTTACTTACGGATTTGCTTATTCTCCTTTGGTAATTGAATTTTGTTTGTTTGGCTGCTACCTTCCAGGACAAACACAAAACTTTTAACTTCTTTATCAAACTCCTAAGAAACACAATGAAAACAGTGGTAACTGAAGCATATTTGATTTGTCTTCTTTTATAAAATTGGAACTGAAATTTTACAGGAAAAAAAAGTTTCATATTCAAATGACTTCAAAGTAGACTAAGGCCTTGATGATGTTCTATCCTGAGACCTTCTTGGAATTGGAATATGAAAGCCACTCGAAGCCATTGGCAAATTCCCTCCTATATGAGTACACCTTTCTTGAAAAGTAATAAAAGTTTCCAACTTCAGGAATTGCAAGTCACTAACCTAGAATTTCCTGAGTTTACCTGCTCATTATTGCTTTTCACTTATTTCTAATAGTAATCCCTATATGTATAAGAAATCAACTAATGTATGTATATCCAATCTGGATATAATTTCTTGGTTTCAGGCCATTGCTTAAACAGAATTATTATTGCATCATTTTTTTACCTACAATGACTACGAAACTTTGGTATATCATTTATTGGAAATTAATATGAATTACATGTTACAACTAAGATTACCTTTAAAAGCTAACAAGAGAGGCAGAAAACAAATCTAGAAATAAAAAACTTACATGAGTCTAATCCCCCTTAATCAAAATGCTAGTGAAAAGAAATACTTTTAATTTATTTCTGTGATACTGAGGACTAAAACTGGGACATTGTATAAGCTAGGCAAGCTCTACATCCCCAGCTCTATTTTTTTGTATTTTGTTTTTGAGATAGGATCTCACTAACCTTGTACAGGCTGGTCTGGAACTCATAATCCAATTTCCTGCTACCATTCCTGAGTAGCTGGAATTCCAGGAGTATGCTACTATACCATTTTTTAATCTTTAAGCATAAAGCTTCCTTTTCATATTAAAATAAATATATTACAATGCAAAGAATTAAGTAACAAATAAATGCAGTAAACCCATCACAGTATCATCTTTATGTATTTGAAAAGAACATACATGCACAAAGTATGTTATTTATTCCACTGATACACAATTGACCAGATACTTAAAACTTTTAAAGTAGCTTATCAAAATCCTCACATGCTTATAAACCACTGAATACTTCAATTCTAGTCCAGCTTTTCAAACATCATCTCCCACTTTACTCCTTCCCCCCTTATCTTTCGTTTAGTCTCTTTCATTTAGCCTTCTTTCAAGTCTCTTGAACATTCTAAGCACTCTCCTGATATAATGGTTCTGCACAAGCAAATTCTTTTTACCTGAAAGGTTCTTCTGACTACCAGCCCCCGTAGGTACCTAGCTGACTCAAAGAACTCAAACACCATTTCTTCAGAAAAGCCCTTCCTGATCTATGTGCTGAATGTTCAGTGTACCATTTATCTCATTCATAGCAACAGCTTTGCAATTTTAGGTTTCTCTTCTGTAGGTCTAGGGTTCCTAGCCTAGCAGATGGGAATGCAAATAACTATTCCACAAGGTTATCATTTAGATTATACAACATAATACAACATAGATAATGTGCTTAATGCTATGCTTGGCAAACAGCAAGAGATCAATTAATAGTAGTTCTAAGAGAAGCCATAAAATAAGGTCCCCAGAAAGACATTTCTTTTTTGGGTATACAACAGAAGAGGAAGAGATAAGGACAGAAATATATATATACAGATTTTTAGATGTGATGGGTTCTCTTTTGCCTATGAAATAGGTAACAAATAGCTTGTAGTGAATGAAGAGGGCAGTCTTGTCCAGGGTGTGGGTTGAGGATAAGAGTCTGGAGCCTAAAGGTTGGAAAATAGAAGATAATAGGAGAAATGACCTTTTTGGGAACCAAGACAACAAAGCAATAAACCTCTTTGGGCTGTTCAGAATAGATATATAGTGTTAACAATCTGAAAGCTGTAGATGTTTTCTCCAAAGGTACTGAGGAGCCAGATACAGGCAAAGAAAAGACTGTGGATACAGAAAGGGCTGGCTTGGCAGGTATAATGAAAGGAAAAAGTGCTAAGGCACTCAGTGTCTTGACTAGAAAATGACTGAAAGGATACCTTACTTTTAAAATTTGGGGGAAAAAAAAGAAAGTTAAGTACAGAAAAAAATGAAACTAAACACAATGACTGAAAGGTCTCAATTAGACTGAAGAACAAACCCAGTGGGAGAAAACTGAACAAGAACTCTTATGAAGCAAAGACTGGGGTTAGAGAAAGATGTCTCCATGTTTCACTTAGTAATTTCAGGATTCCTATAGTTTGTAGTAATAAGGTCCAGATAAGGTCCAGGTTGTGACCATGGGCATGATGCTATAACAGTATGGAAGATGTCATTAGATGTCATTTAAAATTAAGAAATCAAGGTGGGCACCAGTGGTTCCCACCTGTAATCTTAGCTACTTGGGAGGCTGAGATTGGTTAAGTTAGAGATTGGAAGCCAGCCTGGATATACCACTATAAAGACACTTCTCAGCAGCTGGTCATATTGATGTATGCCTGTCATCCTGGCTATGTGGGAGGCTGAGATCAAGAGGATGGATGAGTAGAAAAACCTGTGAGCATCCAACTCAATGAAAGAAGCTTGCATGGCAGTGTATGCCTGTCATCCCAGCTATGAAGGAAGCAAAAAATGGGAGTATGGTTCAGACTAGGGCAGGATCCAAGACCTTATCTCAAGGACAATCAATGCAAACACTTGCACTTAACAAGTGCTAGGTCCAGAGTTCAAACCTCAGGTACACACACAAAAGGAAGGGGGAGGAAATCAAGAAACTGAGAAGCCTAGAGCTTAGAGAGATTTTCCTTACTGACAAATAAGTCAATTAAAATGATGTATCAATATCAAGAAGGGGTATGACCTGTGTGCCAAAGTCTTAAATAATGGAGGAGTGGTGTCTAGAAGAGCTGCAGTCAACAATATCACAAAAGGATTTTGGAGGGAAAGAACAGGAAAAACAGTTCTGAAAACTGATCATGGCCTTTTCACTAAAATCTTCCCTCACATACATCTTCCCAGGATTTAGGTAGCTCTAACTTATGGCACTTACTTTCCAAATCACAGATGGACTACCAAGAATCTTCCATTTTGCTCCAGGATTTTTCCCCTGAGCACTAAAAATTTCAACAAATGCACCTCCCTAGAAAATAAAAACAAGATATTTGAAGTGAAATTTAATGCTAAGCATGAAATAGTATCCATCATATAGTGTAAAACCGTGTTCTGAGCATCTGTCAGTTAAGAAGGTCTAAGAAGAAACATTATCCCTCTTATTATGCCTACTTTATACCTTGATTGTATCTAAGCTACAACTGTTCTGATTTGAGGTCACCTTGGATTAATGGTTTAAGAAAATTACTTTTAAATCACGTTAAAAATTAGATAAATTATGCCATATAAACAGATCATGCTTGTAAAACATCCTTTGCAATGTAGAGCTTAAGTTCAATTCTGAAACTAAGCCAATAAATTCAGATCATTATCTGTGAAATACAATGTTCCCAGTCATACTGTCCAAGGCTCCAAAACTGGCATTTTAACTCTCTGACTTTAGAATTATTTAATTTCTTGGATTTTCATTTGTAAATGGGTATTTGTGTTATCTATTTGTGTCAGTAAACATTATATATATATATATATATATATATATATAAATTCCGAGAGAGAGAGAGAGAGAGAGAGAGAGAGAGAGAGGAGAGAGAGAGTATGTGAGCAAGCACGTGCCAGGGCTCAATAGGGCCATTTAAATTATTCAAGAAAAAAAAGAAAAATTAAGTAGTTTAGTACTGATCAATAAAAATAACTACTAAGGATTTGAGGGAAGAATTTTATTTTGAGCATTAGCACAATATCTTTTTATTAATGAAAATCAATTTGGTAATGCTTAAGAAAAAGAATAATTTCTACAAAAAGGAATCAGTTATATACACAGGTTACTTGTTCCCTAATGTAAACCTAGGAACACAGGGAAATGGCCTATGTAAAGACGTTAAAGATATTACTAAATGTCCACATGCTTTAAATATAAAAACAGGAGAGATAAATGACTGTCCCTAAGTAGGAATTTAGTGCAAATACGGAGATCCTGAAAAGATCAATGTGATTTGAATTACAAACATCATGAGAAAAAAATCAATCTCATTTTTTGTAACGAATTTCCAGTGTTTCATCTTTTTCTCTGTAATATAAAGATACTTTCACTTCTGAGTCTTAACACCTAATCACTTGAAGTTTTGACATTTAATTTCTTCTTCCCTGGGCAGTATCATGTGCAAAATCATATACAGGATAGAATTACTACAGCTTCTAAGAACAGGTCATATTTCACTGAATTTTGAATTTGAGACAACTGAGCTTTTAAAACAGAAAACCCTACATACTTAGTAGAATAGCAAATGTTGTCTCCCCAATTCTTTTTTACTTTCCCATGTTTTCTAAGTTTCTCCCAACAGGTATATTGCTATTTCACCATGTTACACCTTATCTAAATGAAGTGAAATAAACTCTAAATTTTAACTCATATAACGATTTTTTTAACTGAGATGGAAGAAAATTTCCTAATATGCTGTGCATAGATAGTATTTGACAAAAAGAAGCAACAAAGAGGTGGAGAAGTGTTAGTTCTGTTTAGGCACAGTGACAAAGGTCCTAATAGCAGAGCTAAGATAGTAAAGAGACTAAATAGGGACTGTCATCCCAGGATGAGGGCAGGAGGGCAGGACAGGAGGCTACCATCAAAGAAGAGCAGCAAGAGAACTGCACAATGACCTGAGGAGAGCAGGAATTGCAGGGAGACACCCCAGGATACTTAAGGTGACAAGGAACATCCAGAAGCAGGGTTCCTCCTCCATTTGAGCTCCTTGAACTACTTCCAGGAGAAACAATCACTTGAGGTAAGTGGTTTTAATGGAACATTTAACAGCCCTATGTAGGATTTCTGAGTTACCAGATCTGGAGGGGGAAGAGGACAGGAAGTCTGCATTTTTACAAGTATCCCAAAGTGACACTGATGTGAGAGGTAACTAACCCAGTTAGGGTAAAAATAACAGCACAGAGCCAAAATGCTTATTTCCATTCTGGGTTTAATTCACCACTACCAGGGTCTATTAATGGCAAGTACCTCAGGTGCTTGTTAAAACTCAAGATTTCTGTGCCTCCCTGCTCTCAAGACTGTGACTGACCCAGGAGGAGGTCTGGGGTGAGGTTTAAGACCTGTATTTTTTTAATATCATGTTATTGTTATTATTAAGAGTGTTGTACAGAGGGGTTACCATTTCCTAGTAAGGTAATTGAGTACATAGATTTCTTTTATTTTTGGACGATGTCACTCCTTAACCAGAATCTACCATCCGCTTCGAGAAGCACCCTATGGGAGTGAACAAAAGCCGTGTCAGATGGCTAGAACTCGGTTGCTTTTTTCATTTTTGGGTGAAGACCACTCATCTCTTTGTTCTTTTTCACCCCTCCCCCAAGTCCACCCTTTAATTTCTTTTCACCCCTGCCGCTCCGCGCCCATATGACTGGGGGGGGGGGTATCCTTCACCCAGCTCACCAGCTACAGAAAGCTACAGACCGCTTGGAGAGCAGTTCCGGGTTACCTGGTACTCATTTTTGAACATTCCCGCTGAGGGGCCCGGGACTTGGGGGACACAGAGTCCAGCGAGAGGCGTGACCCTGGTGGCTGGAAGCGGCGGGCGGGCGGAGAACCAAGGGCTTCGCGCGCTCCGCACCGATTCTGTCAGGCTCTTCTCAGTCCCCTGGTCAGCTCCACTGTGAGCTGCCGACCCGCAGCATCACCATCGCCGCCTCTGCCTCGGGGGCGCCGGGGTTTGCTGAGGGAACCTGGGCCCGGGCGGGCTCAGGGAAGTCTCCCGGGGAGTGAGAGCGCCCGGTAACCTACGTGACAGGGAGGCGGTGCAGCACCAGAAACCAGAAAGCCGCGCGCGCACCCAGAAAAGGCGGGAGACCGCCTCCGCCCCGCCCCTGAGTCCAACCGGAAAGCCCCACCCCCCCTGCATTCTGGACGCTCCCATTGGCTCCCACCAGGCCCTTACGCATTGCGTAGCTCAGGCTTCTCAGGAGGCCACGCAGCGGCGTGCCGTTGCCCTGACAACGGAGAAGCTCTAAAGATGGGCTTGGGCGAACCAGGACTGGACCTCTCCGTTGGTAGTAGCTAATGTGAGTCACAAAGCTGAAATCTAGCTTTAAGGGTTACCCACCCAGGTTCGGGACTTTTCTGGTGTGACTGTCACGGCTATATAACTGGTGTTTGATTAGGTGGCTGTTAGTTCTCAGATTTCCAAACTTGATTGGGTACCATTTTTAACATGGACTCCCTGTAGTTCAAATGTAAGGCATGGGTTAGACCCTTTTCAGGTAGGAATGTTTCCTTTAGTTTCCGTTGTGGCTTGATATCATTCTACTCCATCCAAAAGCCTCAAATATTTATTTTCCTTATCACATGCCAAACACGGTGTCCTGTATGCATGAGATGCAGAAATGATATCAAGGCTTATTCCTCAGGAATAAGAGGAGATGAAGGAACATTCTAATATCAAGGTAGGAGCTTCACACAGCTATCAATTGAATTACAATTTATTAAATCCAGATATTCTGATTTTTAGGGTTTGAACCTAGTTTACTTGTTTACCAACAATTTTTCCCCTCCCAGAGCTTTGTGTTAGAAGCTTTGGAAATAATGATCAAGAGATACAGTCTCTGTCTTACAAGACTTAACTATGTACAGGGAATATTTATGCATTCTTTCATTTAGGCCTCCAGTTCCACTTCCTGGTATGCGTGGCCTTTGTGAAATCGTCTCTTAATTGGACTTAAAGACTGACGTTTAATGAATACAATATGATGAAATTGTTGAGATGTACTTTTGGAGATTAGGTTACAAAAGACTATGATGTCTAAGTGCTATTTTTCCCCCCTCCTTTCTTTCTTTCTTCCCTCTCCCTTAATTTTTCTTGCCACTCCTTCCTTGTTTTCTTGGCCTTTCACTTTGAGGGAAACAAGATGCTGTGTCAAGGGTGGCCCCATTAAGAGTAAACTGTTGTTGCCTTCATAGTGAGGACCAAGTGGGCTTGAAAGTGAATCCTTCCTGGATCAAGCCTGGATGTGACTCCATCCTTGGTCAATATTTAGATTGCAATCCTGACCTTAAGTCATTACACACACCTAAGTTACACCTTAATTTCAACCATCCAAATATTTTGAAATAAGTATTTATTGCAACCTTTTAAGTTTAGGTATAGTTTTTACATAGCAATAAAAAATGAATATGCTCCTCACATACCCAGACTTACTTATCTAAATTACAAATACATTAATCTTTCTTACACTATAGTCCATACACTGATTTACATATGACCTTCTCTTTTCTAAGCTTTTCTAAGACTCCTAATAATTAACATCATGCTGGCCTGCTTTTAAATCAGCCATGTTTATAAAAGCCACATCCATTCATACTATTCCCCTATATATAAACCTTTTATGGCTATATAACCTGTTGGACTATGTAATATCTAACTTTATTACCAATTTCTTTCTGCATTATTAATCCTCTCTCATTTGAAGCACATTGAAAGATTTTAAGTTCTTCATGATCAGTATGTTCTCAAATGAGACCTTTGTGATTTCCTTTGAATGTATCTTTTCCTCCCTTTTTTCCTTGGTTAAGTGCTTGGGGGGTCCCCATCTCAGAAAAGCCTTTATTGTCTTTAAAAGGTCGGGGGACTTCACACGCTCCTTTATGTAAGCTTTCATAACATCTTAGCACTTAAGTTTATCGAAATCATTATTTAAATTTTATGTGTCATTTTAATGTTGACCATCTTTATTGGACTGTAGGATTCAAGATATATGTCTATTTTGTTCACTATTTAATCCCTAGTGCCTGGAATACTAGTTCAGCCTTGTACCTGATAGAATAAATAGTTATTGAGTGAGTGAAGGAAAAGGCAGCCAGTGCATAGATTTTTTTAAAGGGCGACTCTAAGTTACAGCAATTGAGAAAAATAAATCAGTTGAAAATTCATTAAGGTAAAAAGATAAATTAACAATCTCAATATCTTACGGGAAATTTTCTGGCAAAGTTAAAAATGATTAACTACTGGCTATCAGTAAATGTTATAACTCAAGTGTGTGTATGTGTGTGTGTGAGTTGTAGGGCTTGAATTCTGAGCCTGGGCGCTGTCCTTGAGCTCTTCAGCTCAAGGTTAGTGCTCTACCACTTGAGCCACAGTACCACTTCCAGTTTTCTGGTGGTTAATTGGAGATAAGACTCCCATGGACTTTCCTTCCCAGGCTGCCTTTGAACTGTGATCCTCAGATCTCACCCTCCTGAGTAGCTAAGATTGCAGGCATGAGCCACCAGTGCCTGGTTCAACTGGTTTTGTTTCTCACCACTTCTTTATGCATTTTCGTTCTGGAAGGAAATAATGACCAATGTCCTCACTTTTTAGAGATAAAACAATAGCCCCAAATTGAGTGTCTTCTCCTAATCCTCCTACCTCCTAACAGGTCCAAGAGACTTACAATGGTATTTTCATTGGCAAGTGTGGCATAGGGACTGTTCAGTCAATGAGGAAATCTGAAAGCTGCGCCACTCAGATCAACATTGTTAGTGGGGCTAACACTCCTTAACACTGTCTGTGACCATAACAAATAAAAGAAGCCATATGCTTTAACAATAAAAACTCAAACTCAGAGATAGGAAAGATCCAGTCTTATAATAGCAATCACTTTTTGGATGAAGTATTGTTATGAACCAAAACTTGAATTTGACTATGACTTCAAGAATGTCCACCAGAATTTGGGGTTGAGGGGAGGAGAGAAGCCAGTGTTCCCAAATAACTTGGCTTAAACCAAGTTATGTTCATTTTAAAGACAGTGAAACTGTTTCTTTAATTGCTATAATTTTTTAAGAAGTCAGTACATTTGGTAATTGCATTAAATTGCTTAACTTAATTTGACAACAGTAAGAATTAGTCATTTTGCAAGCTTTAAAGTGCTTTCTTTGTTCTTACAAAGAAAGTAATTTGGTGATATAGTAATATTATTAAAGGATATTTGGTGGTATTTAAAGTCGAATAGATTTTAAACAGCTCTCAAAAGGTGGCAGAATCTCTGTTCTAGTGTATGCTAGTGCAATCACTCAATTTAAATTGTACAATTATCAACTAGATAAGAAACACTATCTTTTGAATTAAGAATGTACTGTATTGACCACAAAATAGCTGTAGATTATATTTTGGCAGTAGTTCATAATTGGACTATTTATCAAAAGAAGAATTAAAAATAAACCACTGATTATAGCATCAGAATTTGTCATGTTGCACAAAAACTTAGAAATATTTTTTTTAATTTAATTTAATTTTATTTGTGAACATACTGTACAGAGGGGTTACAATTGCATGGGCAGGATAATGCGTACATTTCTTACCAAGCATTGCAGCCTCCTCCTTTGTTTACCCTTCCCATCCCTTCCCAGCCTCCCCCCTCCCCCCCATCCCAATCCTTCTCTTTCCCCCCTCTCCCCCCCCCCCCCCCCCCCCGCACCGACATTGTAAAGCTCGAAGAACTTAGAAATATTTAATACTAATACTTACCTAGATTTATTTCACACTATAGAACTTCATTAATTCTAATCATGCTGAATTGATAGAACTTTTACACTGATTACTTGATAGTTTTATTTCTGAGAAAAATTAGTTATAACCAAGTCATCCATTTGATCATTGTTTTGAGAGAAGTTATATCTTCTTTTTCAAGAGATTCTTTTATGGGCATGCATTGGAAACTTTTACTGTTTGTAGGTTTTCCTCTCAAATTGTTTTCTCTCCTCCCTCAACTTTGACATTATATTCTGTGTTTTTAACAAGTTCTGTAAAAAGCATGCAGAAATTTGAAAATCCCAAATGTACCTATTACCTGAAGGTTTTCTCAGGAAAACAAAAGACATTTATGTATTCGAGGAGTTGGATATGAATATTTTTTGAAGTAAAATAGAAAACATTTTGGTTTTAAAAAATGAGTACATTTTCAAAATCCATCTTTGAGAAGATTAAACTAACTGAAAGACTATAAATGAATACTAATCAGCCAGTAGAATGTCTCTGAGGCCCCCAGAGGTGGGAATATACAGTGGTTTCTGACCCTTGTAGCACAGTCTAAATTCAGATACTAGAATCTTCTCAAAATGGTGTGTCTGACTTCAGCATGTTGTATGTTCACTGGGAAATGATGTGAAATCTTTTCCAAAGTCAGATTACCGTGCAAATGTCCTACCTAATCAGTCTGTGAGTTTGTAAGGATTGTGAAGCTTTCTATTAGCTAAGATTGCTGAAATCCATCCTGAGAACCTTCTGGAACTTTCTTTTTGACCTTTACCTTTGTAGACTTACCTAACTGGCTAACTGGCTGTGGAGACAGGGCAGAAAGTATGAGGATATTTTGTTTTTGGGCTTTTTTTTTGTACTGGGGCTTGAACTTGGGGTCTTGTATCGACTCTTTCTGGGATTTTTTGTTGTTGTTCTTCATAGCTGGCATTCTACCACTTGAGCCACATTTCCAGTTTCAGCTTTTTTCTGGTTAATTGGAAATAAGATTCCTGTGGATTTGTCTTCCTAGGCTGGCTTCAAACATCAATCCTTAGTACTCAGCCTCCAGAGTGATTAGGATTATAGGCATGAGCTACTGGCAACCAACTCTTACAATACTGTTGTCCCAAGCCGATGTATCTTACTTAAAAGGTTGCCATTTTCCTCCAGTTCGTTCCTAGCATTCTCCCA